ACAATCTTTGCAGAAGTTCTTATGGCGAAATGGAGAAATTGATCGTCCGCTGGATACATATGTAATGCAAGTCATGACCTCTGGCGCTTCTTGTTCGCCGTTACTTGCCAACTTCGTATTGAGGCGCAATGCGGAGCAATTCGGCGAGAAACATTCAAGCGTGTTAAAGGCGATCTTCCGAAACACGTTTGTTGACGACTTACTGGAGTCGCTAGATACAGAAGATCAGATGATTAAACTGCCAACAAATGTAAAAAGATATCGACACCAAAGGTGGATTTGAAATGAGGAATTGGCTTTCAAACTCCAAAGCGTACTTCAATCCCTGAATAACTCACAGGAGGCGTCACCGAAATATCTTTGCGTAGAGCAAGAACTTCGGGAGAACGTTTTAGGTATGTAGTGGCTACCGGAGACAGACAAGCTAAAGTTCGTCATCAAGCCCGAGTTTTTGCAGAGGTCGGCAACCCACACAAAGCGTCGAGTATTGAGTATTGTAATGTCCATTTTTGATCCGCTAGGGATACTTGGATTTTTCAACATCCGCGCCAAAATCATCATCAAAAATAGAGTAGCCCCATTGAAACCAATATCAGTTCCTCGAATGGAATTGATGGCAGCTGTTTTGGGTCTGCGCCTTGCCAAATTTTTGGAATCTGAGCTGTCAACAAATATTGAAAAACGCATATTGTGGGTCCGACGCCCGTAAGTACCCCCAATTCATGGCCTTACGTATCGGAAAGATTCTTGAAGGATCTGAGATTGAAGATTGGCGCTGGGTCCTTCCGAACAGAATGAACCGGATGAAGGGACCAAATGGACTAAGAAATGAGAAATAAACAGCTCAGCAAGATTGTTTACTGCCCGGAATTTTTGTTGCAAGACGAGTCGCATTGGCCATTGCGAACAGGAGTTGAGTGTGAGTGTGAACTAATGTACCATGATGAGGAAACGCGGGTGAATAAGTCACCTATAGATTCGATTATGCCGGATCCGCTGCGTTTCAGTAGACTTGAACCTCTACATGCTGCCCAAAGACGAGTGCTGGATTTCCTACGCTGTATATACAAGAAACAGCGTGGGCCTGAACTGGTGAGACTATTCAAACTAAAACGCTATGTGGAAATGGATACTGTTCTTATACGAGCATGCCAAGAAGAAGCGTTTGCTTATGAAATACGCTGTCTAAAGAAAGGAGACTGCGTAACCGGAAAAGCACTATAGTGAAGGACATTGCCAAAAACTGTTCGGCCTGCATCAGACGCGCGCAGCCGCTTCCACCAATAATGGGAAATTTTCCCAAGGAACGTCTTTCACCGTTCACTCTGCCTTGCACGTACACAGAGTGGACTATTTCGGACCAATGGAAATCGCCGTGGGAAGATAGGGAGTATTGTTCACCTGTCTAACAGTTCGTGCTGTCCATTTAGAGATCGTTCCATGTCTATCAACAGACTCATTCTTGCTTATTCCACCCAGATCACATCATATGGGCGGAGCCCGGGAACGCATGGTGCCTCGGATTCATCACATTTCCGGCATTTGTCGGTGATACCCAGCTTGACTGCATGTGCAGCAGACGGGCAGTGAGCTGTTAGAATACATTCTGCAGTCCTTCCGCGGAAGGCGCAGAACGTAGTGAGTGTGTTTCTCGTTGTGCACATGATTTTTGATATTCTGCAAGATGCGAAATTACTCCTCCACCTGCTTTTTGCGATTGCGTCAGCCAGTCTCTCCAGCTCGCTTAGGGAGACAGGGACGTTTTCTGCTCTTTCACTTGCCAGTCCAACGCCTTCCTTTGCAAGTCCGTCCGCGGTTTCGTTACCGTCTATGGTGGCTGGGAACCCAGTAGATCCTCACTGACTTAGTCGTGCTTAGGCTATCTAGTGACTCCCTGCTTGCCAGTACATTTTTGGAACTGACCGCTGATGATTGCATGGATCTTATCGCCACTTGACTGTCTACGAACAAATTGACCGCCTCATGTGGACGGTTTATGCTCTGCGCAAGCTCTGCTGCTTTCCTGATGGCGAATACTTCCGCCTGAAATATACTGCAGTAGCTTGGTAGCTTATACGACAGCCTCATTTCAGGGTCTGAACAGTATATGCCCGCTTGGGCATGGTCCTGGCTTAACTTTGTAAGGAAGCGCCTGGGCGGCCGGGGTGAACCTCAGCGGCCCAGAGTCCCCTCAAAAATTTATAATTTGTGCCGATAATTATCTGGCCAGCTAGCGAGGGGAATGGGGAAGAATTTATTTGCAAATGGTTATTGGCCAGGAAACTGGGCGACCCGAATAATCCAGCGGTCAAGCTCGCGTCCGCGCCCGGAATTATCCAGCGGCGGGACGAGTGGCCCGGAGTAATCCAGCGGCCACGCCCATGCTCGGAATGATCCAGCAGCGGGGCGCCTTCGGGGCAGGACCAAGGCTCGGAGGAGTCCAGCAGCCAAGGCCTGTGTCCACGCTCGGAAGAATTTAGCAGCGGGACCACTGGCTCGGAGAAAATCCAGCAGCCAGCCCCGAATCCTCGCCCGGAAGAATCCAGCGGCAGGATTGTTCAGAGGGCTCGGAATAATCCAGCAGCCACGCCCACGCCCACGCTCAGAAAAATCCAGCAGCGCGGCGTCCGTAGGGACAGGACAACGGCTCGGAAAAATCCAGCAGCCGATGCCTGCGTCCACGCTCGGAAGAATCCAGCAGCGGGACAGTTGCCTCGGAAAAATCCAGCGACCAACCCCAGATCCGCGGCGGGATGGCTCTCTGTCGGGCAAGGGGAAGGGGGACCGGCGGCCTCGCACAGCAAGTCCGGTCTCGGAAAGAATCCAGCAGCCACGGGCTCCTGTTCCCGTCCGGCTTTCGCCCGCACCCGGAATTACTCCGGTGCTACGGGGAAAGCAGGAGGGGAATTGGTCACTGCCGGCGAAGGGCACCGGCCCGCGAACGAGGACAGGAAAAACGCGCAATCAGATTTCGGCACATGTTTTCTAATTGTACTTTTATTTGAAAATAAACTGCTGGCGGAGGGTGTGGGATAAATCCCGAATATAGTTAATGGCTGGCGGCCATGCTCACCCTCGACTTGATATTTTTGGAGGTCCTGCAGGATAATGTCCCGACGCGGACACGCGGATTTTCACGGGTTCTTTTTACTTAACTTTGGGAGCGGCACGACTTGCGAGGTTGAGAATTTTGCGAGAATTAAAATTGACCTAATTCTGTAGTGTGGCCGTGACCCACTTCTGCTGGCAGCGCTGCCGCGATCGATCGCAGCGTTGCCAGACGCTGCCACTATCGCCGATGATCGGCCTTTCCTGCGCGCGTAATTCAAATAATTCCCTTCGTGGGATATCCTAATTGTACAATTAATTCTAAACTTAATGTTATTTTGTGACGACAATTTAGCGTCGTCACAACTTCCAGTCATTTGGTCCCATGAATACTGTTGTGTTTGCATCCGGGCACGTTCTGGGTATCATGTAGTCAGATGTACTGCTCATGTCTCGACCAATTGAACTGTGCCCGAAACCTTGTAGCGACCAATTTCCTGATTATGGTTTCGAGAGCTTTGGTAGGGGTTGACTTCAGTTGATATGCAGAGCATTGCCTGCCGCTGGGTTCTCTCCATAAGCTTATTATACGTTTTCTTCTCCATTGCTTGCCACCACACTAAGACTCCATAAAACAGAGTCGAACGCACCACCGATATGTAGACCCAATGCATTAGAGCGGGCGAGAGGCCCCCTGTACTGCTAAGCAGCTTCTTGGATGCATAAAGCGCTATGTTGGACTTTTTACCCTCTCTTGTGTGTTACATTGGCCTTCCACGCTAGCTTGATGTCTAGTACAATGACGAGGTATTTGACTTGTGTTTTCGAGGTCAGCCTGGTTGTGTCCATTTTTGGGGGGATCCATTGCGGCACCTTGTATCTCTTGGTGAAGAGAATATCCACGTTAATATTGAGTTCTACCTTGTCCACCCACTCACATATCTCCCTGAGCGTTGTTTCCATGGTCGAGCTGAGGGTCGATGGACATACTCCCGTGATAATGCTTATCTCATCCGCATAAGCTGTTATCTTTGGTGCTGTCCTCTCGAATCTCTTGATTAGGTTGTATACCACCAGATTACATAGGAGGGGCGAAAGGACCCCACCTTGCGGCGTGCCTCTGTGCGCTCCTCTCACCATGGAAGCGGTGCCCCAATCTGATAGCTACCACCAGATTACATAGGAGGGGCGAAAGGACCACACCTTGCGGCGTACCTCTGTGCGCTCCTCTCACCATGGAAGCTGTGCCCCAATCTGATAGTACCCGCCGGCAACTTAGAAGATTTCTTATCCACAAGTTGATAGCGGGGGACGTGTTGGTCGCTTCTAGGCGATCCATTATTGCGTCCGTGCTAACGTTGTTGAATGCGCCGGATATGTCCACGAACACTCCGAGTGCATATTCCTTATTGTGTAGAGCTCTCTCAATGGTGGCTATCAACGAATGTAGGGTCGTCTCCACTGATTTCACCTTCGTGTAGGCGTGCTGCTTGGTTGACAGTAGTCTCTCTACATCGTTCCTGATGTATAAGTGCAGGAATTTTTTTCTTTCAATTTGAGTAGAAATGAGTTGAGGCTTATCGGTCTGTAATCCTTGGGGCTCACGTTGCTTCACTTTCCTGCTTTGGGCAGGAAGATGGAGATAAATATATTAACAAAAAAATAAAATAAAATAAAATAAAATACATAAAACAAAAATTTCACAAATGTAAGAAAATAAAACAAAATCAAATTTGCATTTTTTATCTTTTATTTGTAAGTGTAGATTATTTAACCAAAAACATATATATAGTTCTTTTAGTATAGTTATATATGTATATATATTCTGTTTCAAACGAAAATAAAATAACTGCAAAGAGAATTCTAAATAAATATAATTCATTTTGTTAATAGTTTTAATTTAATATTTAATTGGAGAAATATTTTGCTCTTTTTTCCTTTTGATTATATCTATATATATATATATATATATATATATATATATAAATGGATATAATTATGCTATATACCCAAGTCATTACCTGTACAAGTAGAATTAAAATTAAAATTTACATCTTAAATTCGTTGAGTGAGTTATAATTACCGGTCTGCATTATTACATCCTGCGGTATAATTGTATCAATACCTGTCAACTGCTTCTTAGCTTCTCCGACTGCTTCTAGTGAAGAATTTCCTATTGATAAAGATTAAAATGAATATATATTATATTTTGAACTACTTCATATGGATTCAAAGCGACTGCTATTTAAAGCAATCGATTGACTTTCCAATGATCAAAAACATACCAGTTTTCTTTTGCTATTCCTCCGGTGTGTTGGAATTATCTTGCGGCGATTTATTAATACACTTTTGTACTATATCGGCTCGATGGATTTTGTATAGAGCTTCCGCTAGGACATTTCCTTCAGCGGCGCTACCTCCGCGTCGCTCCAACCAAATCTGTAACATGATAATTCCTTGCCGTGCAAAATCCTCACCAGAGTACTCCGCTTTGACAAGCTCGATATCGGCTTCAGGTACATCCAATTCCATCGCTAATTGCGGCCAATCCTCGCCTATATATCGGCATATATCGATAAGGCGGATATCGACTGTAGAATTTTCGGTAATTTCTTTAACCTTGCCGCATTCTATATTATTTTCGATGAGAATTTCGTTTTTAGTTGTTATTTCGGTGTCATTAGTTGTTCTGATTCCCGAATTATTAAAATTATTTTGCTGATTCTCTGGCTTTTCCAGTGACATTATTTTCGTTAAAGATTCCATATCCAGAGCCACACTGAGAGAACAAATTGGATTGAGCGGGGCTTCATCGGGCTTGGCCTTTGGCTCGCTCATGAAGTTGATGCGTCCCTGTGGCATTTCTGGATCTTTGACGTGAGCGATAAACGATAAACGATTCTCGCAAAAAGCCTCGAATTTGATACTTAGTTGTTCGTCCGTTTTTAAAACGGGAACAAAGTTACCATTAAACTCCAGATAAATTATTTGATCTTGCAATACTTCAATATTACGACTCTTAGCAATCTCTGTAAAGTATTCCTGCTGTTCCAGTGTCTTTTCCTCCTTATCATCCGTCATACAAAACACCGAGAATTTGGCTTCCGTTTGAGAAATTCGTTTGGCAAATACAACAAACTTGACGATGAATGGAACCTTGGCCAGGTGAGTGTAGAGCTCAGTGGCCATTCGACTAGCATCGCTAATATTCCGACAATCCATTAACCAAAATCTGGCCGAAACAGTCGTCGTAAACGTAATTCTGTCTTTGACGAAAGATAGCGGCGTGGAGCCCGTGACATCTTCCCAAGCTGCACGCGATTGTCCGCCGGTAATGGAACACAACAGTCGTAGTGTGGGAGGATTGCTAGCATTTGCATCGGAAAAACAAGCATTTACCATTCCGCTGGAAGATGCCTTCGGCGCTGGAATACTCAATGTTATTGCTTTGTGGAATTTTCGACGACGTGGCTCCACTGTTACTACCGGAGAGACGGCAACACCATGTCCCAAAAGCTTGGAACAACCAACCAGGTCAATTGGCTGTGCCTGAAGACCGACACGAATTTTCTTAGTCAAGGCGTGACGCGGAAATGTCGCCTGAACTTCAGGTACCGCCGTGGAATAAACAGTTCCCCCATCCGGTCCAATGGCGTGCACTTCCTGGCGGACTCGCGAAACGACGGCAAAGAAGTGTGGAACATTCTGTGTTACAATGCGAACTATGTGATTAGTGGCCAAATCTTCTATCGGCTTGTCGATTGTATCGTTAAACAGTTTGTTCTCATCCTCGCTCTCGTACAAATAGTGTTCGCGCCAACTCTCGCCGTTATCTGATCTGAGTATGATAATTTCGCGTTCATTTTCCCGGAGAGTGCCAAAGTGGGGTACTTCTAGGGTTATGGGGCTTTTAAATAAATTATTATTATTAGTATTATTTTAATTTTAATTTTAACTATAATATATTACATTATATTATTTTCATATAATTATACATAATATATAATAACAATATAAAATATATATATATATCATATTATTATTATTTGATTTGATTTTATTTGTATCCCTAACGTTACAAGTTTATAACTTATAAATTAGTGCGCTAGTCACAATGGGAGAGAATTCACAGCACATTTGACTACATTTGTACAAATAAAATGTATATAATATATTCTTAATTTAACCATTTTATTTTTTTTTTCATTAATTAACTAACACCATACCTTTACCTCCGACACAGCATCAACTCTTTTCTAGCAATACTCCTATGATGGGTTCAGAAACAAAAGCTTTTTCATTCTAAACAAGAAAGGAAGCTAACTTCGGCACGCCGAAGTTTGTATACCCTTGCAGATTGGTTTCGATGTTTATACTATAGATTTAAATGCTGAAAACACTCACAAAACAGAGTTTCATTACATTTTACCTATACTTATTATGTTTACAGTTTGAAAGTTACAGTTTTACATTCCCAGTTTTACATTTTCTCTACATCTACCGATCGGTTTATATGGCAGCTATATGATATAGTTGTCCGATTTTTATGAAATTTATACCATAATTCTAGAGTAATAAAAAAAGCTTTTATCTCAGAGTAGATAAACATACGTTGAAAAACAACGAAACTATAATTTTTTTTCCTATTTATTTCTCGACCGTTCCTATGGCAGCTATATCATATAGTCGACCGATTTTCATAAAATTTTTACCAAAATTCTGAAATAATATAAAATGGCCATATCTAAAAAATGGTGCAAAAATGTTGAAAAACTGCAAAGTTATAATTTTTTTCTACAAATATATCGAACATTTGTATGGCAGCTATATGATATAGTCGTCCGATCCGGCCCGTTCCGACATATATAGCAGTGAGAGCATATAGAAGACTATATGCAAAGTTTCATTCAGATAGCTTTAAAACTGAGGGACTAGTTTGCGTAGAAACAGACAGACGGACAGATGGACAGACGGACATGGCTAGATCGACTCGGCTGTTGATGCTGATCAAGAATATATATACTTTATAGGGTCGGAAACGTCTCCTTCACTGCGTTGCAAACTTCTGACTGAACTTATAATACCCTGCAAGGGTATAAAAATGCTATAGAAAGTGTCTGCAAAAAGAATTAGTACCAGCGCCCTGAAGAGACGGCAGTGGGCACCAATGCAGCCTCTACGAAAGCTCTTCTCTGGGATAATCCAGAAATATAAAAGCTAATCAGTAAGGACACAAATCATTAAAAACAAGAAAGGAAGCTAACTTCACGCCGAAGTTTCCTATGGCAGCTATAAGATATAGTCGTCCGATTTTCATAAAATTTTTACTAAAATTTTAGAATAATATAAAAGTGCTATATATAGAAAATGATGCAAAAATATCGAAAAACAGCCAAGTTATAATTTTTTTTTCTAAAAATTTATCGAACATTTGTATGGCAGCTATATGATATAGTCGTCCGTTCCGACATATATAGCAGTGAGAGTATAGAAGACTATATGCAAAGATTCATTCAGATACCTTTAAAACTGAGGGACTAGTTTGCGTAGAAACAGACAGATGGACAGGCGGACATGCGGACATGGCTAGATTGGCGCGGCTGTTGATGCTGAACAAGAATATATATACTTTATAGGGTCGGAAAGGTCTCCTTCACTGCGTTGCAAACTTCTGACTGAAAGTATAATACCCTGCAAGGGTATAAATATATTGGAGGAGATAGAAATAAGAATAAAAAAAACATCAAAAAAAAACTTTGGCATCTCTATATGGGCTTCAAATTATTTGATATAGCCGTCTGGACTAGCACGTGTCTTAAAAACGGGCAGACGGACGTCTGAATTTGATAGGCAGATATTGAATATATGTTATTTACAAGGTCAAATATGTCGCCTTTCACAGGTGAACAGATATGCATTTCTTTTGTTTTTTTCATTCCAGAATTTGGAATTGGAAAAACTGTGAGCATATTAGAATATACGCCTAATATAAAAATAGTGTAGGTTCAAGAGTAACGAAAATGTTAAGCTTCTATAATAGTCTATTATAGTATAGTCTTAAAATGGTATTTATTAAACTTCGCATACCTTAAAAATTTTCCCTCAACAGGTGTCATTTCTAAAATACGACTCACTAGAGCCTCACCTTCCATTAGGGGCGGCAGATTGGCTATTCTTTGCGGTTTGACGTAACGGCAAGTGATTCGAGTTGGTTCAGAGCAGGCCTTTGGCGGTACAATAATCCGGACGCCACTGTGGCGATAGCCGCGCATTGAACCACCGCGGGCGTCTACCAAAAAGGAAACAAGGAATCTATAAAATAAATAAAACGACCGTAAGTGTCAAACTTTTAACAACGAAAACTGAAAGCCTACCCCAAATGTATCGGCGGTCGAACGATAGGCACATTATCCAATTTTCTTCGATTTTCCGAACCTTTAATGTTTTGCAATTGTAGCTGTATTGTTTCTGTACAAAATAAAATTAAATACTTTATGTTAAACTATTAAATTAATTAACAAAATGTGTATTAACAAAATTTGTATTAACAAAATTTGTATTTATAACATTGTAACATTGTAATATTATAACATTATAACATTATAGCATTATAACATTATAACATTATAACATTGTAATATTATAACATTATAACATTATAGCATTATAACATTATAACATTATAACATTATAACATTATAACATTATAACATTATAACATTATAACATTGTAATATTATAACATTATAACATTATAACATTATAACATTATAGCATTATAACATTATAACATTATAACATTGTAATATTATAACATTATAACATTATAACATTATAACATTATAACATTATAACATTGTAATATTATAACATTATAACATTATAGCATTATAGCATTATAACATTATAACATTATAACATTATAACATTATAACATTATAACATTATAACATTATAACATTATAACATTATAACATTATAACATTATAACATTATAACATTATAACATTATAACATTATAACATTATAACATTATAACATTATAACATTATAACATTATAACATTATAACATTATAACATTATAACATTATAACATTATAACATTATAACATTATAACATTATAACATTATAACATTATAACATTATAACATTATAACATTGTAATATTATAACATTATAACATTATAACATTATAACATTATAACATTATAACATTATAACATTATAACATTATAACATTATAACATTATAACATTATAACATTATAACATTATAACATTATAACATTATAACATTATAACATTATAACATTATAACATTATAACATTATAACATTATAACATTATAACATTATAACATTATAACATTATAACATTATAACATTATAACATTATAACATTATAACATTATAACATTATAACATTATAACATTATAACATTATAACATTATAACATTATAACATTATAACATTATAACATTATAACATTATAACATTATAACATTATAACATTATAACATTATAACATTATAACATTATAACATTATAACATTATAACATTATAACATTATAACATTATAACATTATAACATTATAACATTATAACATTATAACATTATAACATTATAACATTATAACATTATAACATTATAACATTATAACATTATAACATTATAACATTATAACATTATAACATTATAACATTATAACATTATAACATTATAACATTATAACATTATAACATTATAACATTATAACATTATAACATTATAACATTATAACATTATAACATTATAACATTATAACATTATTACATTATAACATTATAACATTATAACATTATAACATTATAACATTATAACATTATAACATTATAACTATATAACTATATAACATTATAACATTATTACATTATAACATTATAACATTATAACATTATAACATTATAACTATATAACTATATAACTATATAACATTATAACATTATAACATTATAACATTATAACATTATAACATTATAACATTATAACATTATAACATTATAACATTATAACATTATAACATTATAACATTATAACATTATAACATTATAACATTATAACATTATAACATTATAACATTATAACATTATAACATTATAACATTATAACATTATAACATTATAACATTATAACATTATAACATTATAACATTATAACATTATAACATTATAACATTATAACATTATAACATTATAACATTATAACATTATAACATTATAACATTATAACATTATAACATTATAACATTATAACATTATAACATTATAACATTATAACATTATAACATTATAACATTATAACATTATAACATTATAACATTATAACATTATAACATTATAACATTATAACATTATAACATTATAACATTATAACATTATAACATTATAACATTATAACATTATAACATTATAACATTATAACATTATAACATTATAACATTATAACATTATAACATTATAACATTATAACATTATAACATTATAACATTATAACATTATAACATTATAACATTATAACATTATAACATTATAACATTATAACATTATAACATTATAACATTATAACATTATAACATTATAACATTATAACATTATAACATTATAACATTATAACATTATAACATTATAACATTATAACATTATAACATTATAACATTATAACATTATAACATTATAACATTATAACATTATAACATTATAACATTATAACATTATAACATTATAACATTATAACATTATAACATTATAACATTATAACATTATAACATTATAACATTATAACATTATAACATTATAACATTATAACATTATAACATTATAACATTATAACATTATAACATTATAACATTATAAAATTAAATGTTAAAATTAATTAGATTGCCTTTTTCGAAATGTTCCGACGTGACGTTATCATGTTGATCTGGATTTGTGGTATCAAAGTTTCGCTGGTCCGCCCCTACACAATTAGCTTTCAAGTCATCTGTTTCCATATATTTATAATGATTATGATCCAAAAAGTCATCATCGCCGGCATCATCGTCCTCGGAATCGGATAATAATGTCTCATGCATTATCTCCGGTGATAATACTTTGAATTTTTCCTCAATGACACCAGTATTTACATCAACAATAGAGGTTTTAGTGACAATTTTTAGAGTTTCAATCGCGGTGACATATCCCAAATTGCTAGCAATATGTAGAGGTGTCTTGCCGGTCTGTTAGGGACAGATTTTGATATAATTATTGGTTAACAAATTAAACATTATTTATCATATTATATAAAAGCCAAAATATTTAAATTACTCTGCATTGTTGTGTTTTAATTAAATGGGAGTTTTATGATTCTTTTAATCAATATTGAATTTTCATTGTGTTATAATAAATAAATAGAAGACTATTCATTGTTGATAATAATCATTGGCGTTAAAGATGCAATCGTCTGCCTTCTAGAAGGCGTCTTTGTTCAAACTTTTTAAATACTCACATTTGTTAAAGCCTCGGGGTTGGCCTTGTGACGCAGCAAGAGATTAATAATCAGAACATGGCCCTGTTGAGCCGCTTGATGCAGTGGTGTGAAGCCAGTATTGGTTGTAATTTCAATATCGGCATCGTTTTCAAGCAAAAACTTTACCAAATTTAGATGACCATAATGGGCGGCAATGTGTAACGGAGAATAGCCATTTTTAGTACGCTGTGAAATCGGAGAGCCATGATCCAAGAGTAAACGTGCGACATGTACATGACCCTCCTGTGATGCTAAATGCAAAGGTACCAGGCCATTTTTAGCCGCATTATTCTTGGCATTATATTCGAGCAGAAGTTGAACCATATCAATGTGACCCTCCTGTGACGCCAAATGCAATGGCGAAAAACCACTCCTGCTCATAGAGTCAACATCTGCTCCATTTTGTAACAATAATTGCGCAACTTCCATATTATTCTTTTTGGCAGCAATGTGTAGGGCACTTTGTCCATTTCGAGCACACAACTTGGCAGAAGCACCTTTCTTTAAGAGCAACTCCACGACCGCCTGATGGTTGTAGTGTGTGGCCACCAACAAAGGTGATACATCGTTCTTACCCAGAGAATCGATGCTTGCTCCTTTGTCTAGCAATAATGATACGATCTTCTCCTTGCCATATTTGCTTGCCAAATGCAAAGGACTAAAGCCTTTTTTGGTAACCGCATCGATATGCGCTCCATTTTCGAGGAGCAGTTGAATTAAATCCTCATCATGACCCTCTTTGGCTGCTATGTGGAGTGGAGTGTACTTATCTTTGGTCTCAGCATTAATCTGCGCTCCATGCTGGAGGAGAAGCATTATTATATTGATATTACCCAAGCGAGAGGCGACATGGAGCGGGGTCTGTCCCTCGCGGGCAATGGAATTTACTTGAGAGCCGTTCCGAAGGAGTATGCGTATGATGTCAGTCTTAAATAGGAAATTAAAACTATTACATACTTTTATATAACTGTATACGCTAAATATTCTGTATGCTATGTATACTATATGTTTATTTAATTTTGTTAAGTTTTTTTTCGTAAATATTTTTTTAATTTTTAATTATAAAGGCCAAATATCACAAGAATATTGTGTCAAAGTTCTACATCGATCATAGAAAACTTAAAATTTACAAATAACTTTTATTTTTAAATTTTACCGCCTAGTTTAAAAGTATTGCAGTTTAACTTTTATTTTTAATTTTTTTAATAACCGTTATTTGTCAAATTTTATTTTTAAATTTATATGAGCATCAAAAACTTTAGAGAGCTCTCCTGAAAAGTGCCCTTTTTAAAGTCAGTTTAACTCAATATTTACTGGAACAAAAAATCTGTAAAAATTATAAAATAAAAACGCCATGTGAATACCGCGGAACCCGCCCCCCTAAAGTAAATTGATATTAAAGACCTTATTGTTATTGTTATTATTGATATGTATTAAGAACTGAGTAAAATCCTATTACTATCCTAATTATACACTAAAATTATTCTAAGGATGCTAATTTCCGCACGCTGAAGTTTGTATAGCCTTGCAGTTTGTACTTGGATCATTAAGATTAAGTTACGCTAACAGGAGATTTATTTAAGCATATCATATAATAATTTAAAAACAATATAATATAAATTGGTTTATTATTATTAATCCCGCCATTATGACGGATACGTTTTCTGATTTGCAAAGCGATCCGAGATTCAAGAAGGAAAGTTGAGCTGTGTTCCCATGCATATTATTGTTGATTTGTGTTCGGCGATCGATTCTGTGGCCCGAGTTTCTTCCTTGAGAGTAACTTAGAATGTTAAGACGTTTTTCTTGTAAGAATATTATTAACTTGTTTTAGAACTCTGATAAATACTTATGGCGCCTTGAACTAAGTTATTTAAGTTTACATACGGTTCAGTATTATTTTGTAGAAATAAATATAACCTATGGCACTCATTGTGAATATTGCTTTCCCATGGTAAGTGAATTTTTTAAATCGGATCAGTAAGTTTTTGAGCTTACACAAAAACACAAATCTTTCGTCTTTATAATAGTAGTACGATAGATATAATACAAAGCTTAACTCTTTATAAGAGTTGTATAATATATATATAGTATGATTAGATATGAACTCTGAGATGCAGGTATTTTATTTGATTAAAAAAAATTTGTTGAAAGTTTATTCAAAACGAAGTATGTATTATATATGTAATAATTTTTTATATATCTCTTGTTAGTGTTTTGCTCCATTTGTCAACTTCAAGGCTTTACAATCTTCGGCGTTTCCTTTCTTATTTATTTTTCAAATACCTGACTAGCTCGCGTCGCCAAATGCAGAGCTGTTTCGCCGCGTAATGTTGGTACATCCGGATTGGCATCATGTTGCATCAAGTATATTACTATGTTCATGCACCCTATTAGAATAAGTTAATGAGAGTTCAAAACTTAGGGCTTCTTGCATCAATAAAAATAATAATAAACTAGATCAAGTTATGTAATTAGGAGATACTTGAACAGAACTTACCCATAAAACTGGCAACATGCAGAGGCGTTAAACCAGATTCCGTGGTGGCACCAATATTAGCTCCATGTTTAATTAGCAATTCAACTATCTTTATCCTGTTCTTTTTGCACGCTATATGCAAGGGCGTAAAGCCATTGAGAGCTCTAGCATTTGGATTGGCACCATAATCCAGTAATAGCTTGGCCACCTTTACGTGACCACAATGAGCAGCCACATGGAGAGCTGTTAGATAATCAATGGTTACTTCATCCACGGGAGCCTTGTTGTCCAAAAGAAGACGCGCTGCCTCATTGTGCTCCCCTTGGGCGGACATGTGAAGAGCAGATAAGCCATTCTTGGTCTTGGTCAATATTGGAGCATTCTGACTTAAAAGTAACTCAATGACCTCAACGTGGCCGGAACGAGAGGCGCAATGAAGCGGTGTTAGTCCATCCCGAGTTGCTGCATCAATTTTTGCTCCTCTCGAGAGTAGTAACTGACAAACCTGGACTTTACCCCATTTACAGGCAACGTGCAAGGGCGATATTTGATGTTTTGCCACATAATTAACATCGGCAGAGTTATCCAAAAGCAGAGTGGCGATATCCACATTACCATAATGAGCTGCAATGTGCAATGGTGTAAATCCAGACTTGGAGACTGTATCAGGATTGTTATCATTTTGTAGCAAAAGTGTTGCTGCCTTTACATCGTTTTTTTTCGCTGCAATATGCATCGCCGGGAGTCGAACCTTGCCGCGTATGTCGTTTTCGAGGAGAACAGCCACGATTTTATCATGACCCTGCTGCATGGCAACTGCCAACGGAGTAAAGCCATCCTCCGTGGCCAGTGAAGGATTAGCACCATTGGCGAGAAGTAAGCGACAGCAATTGTCATGATTCTCCTGAGCTGCCATATACAATGGCGTAAAGCCATTTAAAGACTGAACATTTACATTAGCATCGGACAAGAGAAGTTGGTGTATAACATCTTGCTGTCCTGCCAAGGAAGCTATATGTAAAGCCGTATTGCCTTTTTTCGTAGCATTATCCACCTTGATGCCACGTCTTAACAACTCACAGCATATATCAACATAGCCATCTTTGGCAGCCAAGTGTAGGGCATTAAGACCATTCTAAAACAAGAGTTAAAAAAATACTATTAAAAGATATTTAAAAAAGGACGAACTTGGCTTTAAATTAAATTTGTTTTATTAAATAGAAGTATCGCCGACTGAGACCTCAAGTCCTGCAATTACGAATGATATTTTATAAATATATTTTTATATAAATTTTTTGTATTCTATTATATTTTTCTAACTGTTAAACTATAAATATAATATTATTATATTACATTTACCTATATGTAATAAAAGTTGTCATTACTTTATTTTTGTTCAGCATATATATGTATATGTCGCAGATTATTTTGTTAATTCAAATTATAACGATTTTTGTGGGTATACACTTGTTTAATTTGTTATTGCTTCTCTGTTCTTTCGTGCGAGGCATACACTGTTTTGCCAACGTAGTCTGGGCGTGGGTATGAAAGGGACGGATATTGTTTTCTGAGAACTCACCACACCTGCGTGTGTGTTGGAAGGTAAAAAGGAATTGAAAAGGAATGACACAGCGTTTTTGGGTCGCAAGCAAGTTGGTTGTGAAAGTTCAGGAATCATGCCACGCGCCAGAAAACGTTTCGCTGAAAGTCCAGTTGAGGACTCCGATGATGGATCGTCGTCATCAGAAGTGGGATTACCTCCGTCTCCAGCCAATGATGCAAATCTTCTAACAATTCGGGAGCTGCAAAACCGTAATTTCGTCGAGTTAATAAAACAAGTACAGTGCTCTCGAAATGAACCAAAAGATGCAAAAACCATTGTGCTGCCAAAGTTCAACCCTGATCGAGCAGGATCGGACGCGCTGTCCTGGTGTTCAAAAGTCGACTACATATTGTCTGAAAACCAGCTCGTGGGGAGCGCTCTTGTAATGGCACCGCATCTCACTGGCTCTCGCAGACATGTTTTCCTGGCATTACATGGACGCAGTTTCGAGAATTATTTTTGCAATATTTTTCCGGAACTGAGACTTTGGGCGCGACTGTCATGAATTTGCTAAACGCACGCCCAAATGAAGGAGAGTGCCTGTCGTTATATGGGAGCAGAATGGTCACCTCACTAATGGCCCGCTGGAAGTCGCTCAGCGTCGAGCAGATTGCAGTATCCGTCACGTTGGCACATGCAGCTGGCATAGATACACGGTTGCGCCGTTTGGTTTTTACGACGGACATCAAAAGCCGAAATGAGCTGCATCAGGAACTCAAAGCCTTTTCGTTTGACGCCAGACAGAGACAGCATTCAAGTGACAACGTATCGGCACCAGAAGGAAAAAGAGACAGAGCTATGCCTCACATCACGTGTTATAACTGTGGCACACCCGGCCACAAGAAGGCGGAATGTCGCTTTAGAGACAACTCATTTGGAGCAGCCCCATAATCAATAATCTGGATATAAAGGAGCAAAAGATCTATCATCCGTGATCTGTTATAAATGTGGAAAATCTGGACATGTTTCTACGGTATGCCCGGATCGTCAGAAGCGTTCACTGGTCACGAGCAATACAATCAAAGATGTGAACAGATGCACCGTACTTGACCCATAGGAACGTTGCTGCAGTTTGGTGAGTCGTTCCAATTTTACTTCGACTCCGGGTGTCCGCTCATCGAAGAGACTGTGTTCTCGAGATTATTAAAAAAACAAGAAAGGAAGCTAACTTCGGCACGCCGAAGTTTGTATAACCTTGCAGATTGGTTTTCATATTTATATTATAAATTATAATGCCGAAAACAGGCACTAAACAGAGTTTCATAACATTGTAACTATACTTATTATGTTTACAGTTTGACAGTTACAGTTATACATTCCCAGCTTTACATTTTCTCTACATCTACGGATCGCTTCTATGGCAGCTATATGATATAGTTGTCCGATTTTTATAAAATTTATACCAAAATTCTAAATTAATAAGTAAAGCTCATATCTCAGAGTAGATGAAAATACGTTGAAAAACAACGAAGTTATAATTTTTTCTATTACTTTCCCTATTGTTCCTATGGCAGCTATAAGATATAGTCGTCCGATTTTCATAAAATTTATACCAAAATTTTGAAATAATACCAGAAGCTTATGTGTCAAAGTAGATTAAAATACGTTGAAAAACAACGATGTTATAATTTTTTTTTTTTGATTAATTTCCCGATTGTTCCTTTGGCAGCTAAAAGATATAGTCGTCCGATTTTCATAAAATTTTTACGGAAATTCCGGAATAATATAAAATGGCTATATCTCAAATGATGGAATAATATTGAAAAACAGCCAAGTTATTATTTTTTTTCTAAAAATATATCGAACATTTCTATGGCAGCTATATGATATAGTCGTCCGATCCGGCCCGTTCCGACATATATAGCAGTGAGAGTATGCAAAGTTTCATTCAGATAGCTTTAAAACTGAGGGACTAGTTTGCGTAGAAACAGACAGACGGACAGACGGACAGACCGATCATTAGGAATCGATCCATTCTGGTCAAATGAATAGAAAAAAGTTGTATATTTATATATAGCATATACATATGTAATAATTTGGTTTTGAAAAAAATTAAAAAAAAAAAAACAAAAACAAAAACAAGAAAAGAAGCTAACTTCGGCGCGCCGAAGTTTGTATACCCTTGCAGATTGGTTTTGATATTTATATTATAAATACTCACAAAACAGAGTTTCATTACATTTAACCTATTCTTATTATGTTTACAGTTTGACAGATACAGTTTTATTTTCCCAGCTTTACATTTTCTCTACATTTACCGATCGCTTCTATGGCAGCTATATGCTATAGTTGTCCGATTTTTATGAAATTTAATTATAAAATAATAAAAAAAAAAGCTCATATTTTAGAGTAAATGTAAATAATCAGACAACTATATCATATAGCTGCCATAGGAACGATCAAGAAATTAATAGGAAAAAAATTATTGCTTCGTTGTTTTTTAATATGTTAAAAAACAACGAAGCAATAATTTTTTATACGTTAAAAAACAACGAAGCAATAATTTTTTTCCTATTAATTTCTTGATCGTTCCTATGGCAGCTATATGATATAGTTGTCTGATTTTCATAAAATTAAAAGAGAAATTCTGAAATAATACAAAATGGCCATATCTCAAAAATGAAGCAAAAATTTTGAAAAACAGCCAAGTTATAATTGTTTATTTTTTTTTTTAATTTATCGAACATTTGTATGGCAGCTATATAATATAGTCGTCTGATCCGGCCCGTTCCGACATATATAGCAGTGAGAGTATATAGAAGACTATATGCAAAGTTTCATTCAGATAGTTTTAAAATATATATGCTTTAAAGGGTCGGAAAAGTTTCCTTCATTGCGTTGCAAACTTCTGACTGAAATTATAATACCCTGCAAGGGTATAAAAAGTGTGATAACATTAAATCATCCGGCAGGTTTGTGGAAAGTAATCGACCATTACCGTTCGCCAGTAGTGGCTAAGAAAATCTTCACGTATCGTTCACAAATTCAATTCTTCATATAGAGCCATAGTTTAGATGTCTTGAGGCAAGCGTTTATTACGTCTGCAGCAGTTTACCTGGGCGGAAATCTCTAGCATCCAAAACATTTTGAGAATGCGAAGAGCTTTCAATATTTTGTTTAAGGGGGTCTTCTCATTGGGCAACTTTTTTTTCGATTTTTATTTATTTATAGCTTGGAATGTTGTGTATATGTCTCCAAAAGGATTTTTAGAAATTCGAAATACTTTAGGAGATACAGCCTTTTTTGTGAAGCAAGGTCTTCGTAAACTTATAACGCATTATAACTTCAAACGCATTTATCTCGAAACCACGTTTTTCGAACTGGCGGCCATGATATCTCCAGTTCAACTGAACCGATTTTCATGAAACAAAGTGGAATCGACGCAGAATTGTCACCATTCTCGGGTGACGGAACAGATTAAAAACTTTTTTTTTTTTTTTTTACACTAAACTAAAAAAAAAAGCCCGAAATCGAAAATTTTTTGAATGGCCGCCATTTTCTTTAAAAAAAAATTAAAAAAAAATCTATTCTGATTATAACCCCGTTTTTTTTCATTTCGGATGCTCTGGAGACCCTGAATCGTGGCCGCCAGGACGACACCTTTTTTTTCCACCACCAAGTTTGAAGTCTCATTATTTTTTTATTTACTTTGAACATTTTTTAATACAATAAATAAAAAAAAAAATTTCAATTATTCTTTGAGTTTTCAAATAAGAATTTTTTTAAAAAGGGTCCAAAAAACGGGTTTTGAATGAGAAGACCCCCTTAATGCTTCTAGTGCTTGCCATTGTGCTATTATATATATAAACACACAATTTTCATAATGTTCAGGTCAGGAGCTTATGTTCCCGCCCCCCGCGACTCCGAAGCGCTCCCGCTTCATCAAAGCTCCTCAGCTCGCTCTCTCGCTCCCGCTCTTCTAGCGGATGCTTCGGCTCTGGCCGATCGTCGCATCGCTGAGCGGCCGCTCCCGCTCTCCTAGTTTGATCTCCGACTCCAATTTGTACATTAGATTAATTCCTAATTAGAACCTGAATAAAGCGGATCATACGATTTCATATTATATTGAAAGTTACCACGCCCCCCCGGCCTACTATTTCATTTCGTTGGTGGTGATTTTCTCTTGCGCGTTTTCGCTATTTCTACGGTGGTTACGTTGACTGCGGCGCGGGAGTGATTTATTTATTAATTCTTGTGCTGATCTGGAAAGTGAAGGAAATTGAATTTCCCCCCCTCGAGCCGAACATTTGGTCCTCCAGAGCCGGATTTGTGGATTTTTGGATTTCCGGATTTTATTGGATTTTTGGATTTTTGGATTCCGGATTTTTTCCATCCACACCAGCAGTTCTCGGCGTTATATTTTCCAAGATAAGTACGAATTATTCCGTCGCCCCCTCACTGCCGGTCTTCAGCAGTAGTCCGAACAATTAATTTCGGTCACTCTGCTGCAAGATTAATTTCCGTGTCGACTCCAAGAGCGAGTTTTCCTGACAACGGCAGTTGAGGAATTTTCCATTTCGTTTTTCCATTTCCTACATTTTGCAATTTTCAATCCGTCTCCGTTTTGATCGTCGCCATATTCTTTTTCGTCCGCTTTCCTCTACATATTGGCATATATCCGTACATCAATGTACAAAACGGTTCCGACAGAAAATTAAAATTCATACATACATATGTCCGTACATCTGTCTACATAAAGACATTGAGTTTATTTTACACAATATAAAAAGACAAAATTATTAAGATTCCGATAATAAAAAATTACAAATAATAAAGAATACAGTCCGCTGCTAATATATACTCATATATTATTATATTATTCCATATTATATTTTCTCCAGGTCAAATATATATGATTCCATATTATATTTTTCTACATTCCACATACGTTTACATACAAAATTTTAAACAACATTTTAATACAACATTTTAATACAACATTTAAAACCAAGAAAATAAACCATAATAAATAAAGAATAAAATATTAAAACAAAATTTTATAAGCCAGTGTCCGTCTTTTTTCTGAATTTTATTGGTGCGCTATATACATACATACATACATAACCAAGAGCTTTACATTCTTTACAACGAACATTGAATTGAGAAAAAAAGTGCCAGGTGTTCCGATCCCACCATTCCGATCGAATTACTTTTTCCATACAATTAATAATTTTTATTTGTTAATAATTAACGAATTAATTGCGCATTTAATAATTTTTTAAAGTTTTGCACGCGATAAATATCAAGGGTACTCCATATATTTTCTTTGCATTTATTGGGTTATTATTAAGTACGAAAAATAATAAACAACTCGGCAATTTCATTCCGCAATTATTTATACATATAAATAAATTTCCATTCTCGTCGCATTTGCTCCAACTAATATTGGCTCCATTACAATTGATTTTGATTCTCGTCGCATTTGCTCCAATTAATATTGGCTCCATTACGAATAAATTTCCATTCTCGTCGCATTCGCTCCAACTAACATTGGCTCCATTACGAATAAATTTCCATTCTCGTCGCATTTGCTCCAATTAATATTGGCTCCATTACGAATAAATTTCCATTCTCGTCGCATTTGCTCCAATTAATATTGGCTCCATTACGAATAAATTTCCATTCTCGTCGCATTTGCTCCAGCTAATATTGGCTCCACTACAAATAATTCTACGATTTGAATTTTATTGGTTAATTCCACCATCCACCATCTACCATCCGAGTTCTACGGCATAGTCCTGCCATCCATATTCGCTTTGTTTTTACCGTCTCACATTTCTATTTCGGCGTTTTTAGTTGACGGTATTGACCTCAACTAAGTCTAACATTTGAATTCTACGGCATATTCTTGCCAATCCAATCAAAAAAAAAAAATGTCGGAAGGACAAGAACCAATTCCGCAAGACGCGAGTCAGAAGAAGGAGGCAGCACAGTTAGCGCCTCCAATCGAGGGAAGTTCGAGGCGGGAACCGAGTCCGAAAAACACGGGCGCGGGACCGTCAAGTAATTTGAGATCCAAATCCAAGGGCACGTTAGAAGGTATTTTGCTTGAATTCATAGCAACCAGCGACCGTCTTGTCAAATATGAAAGCCAGATATTTACGGCATCCTCTTCCGAGCCTAGTCTGTTTACCTTAAAGGTCCGTCTGGATCAGACACAAGCCTTATGGGAAAAGGTCGAACGGGAGTATGAAACCGCTTCCAAAACAGCTCTTCGCGAAGGTAGCGGAAATCTTCCGTTACTGCAAAACAAATATGAGCACTGCTATGCGGTGTTCGAAAGATGTGCTTCGAAGCTAAGTGAAGACATCGCCCGTATGTCCGTCCCCACTTCACCGCCAAGAACAGCTCCGCCGACAGAGACATTCTCCAGGGGTTGCAGTCTTCCGCCATGCGATACCGAGATTTTTGACGGGGATTATCTGCGCTGGCCCACCTTTCGTGACCTGTTTACGGCCATCTATGTAAACAATTCCAGGTTGACTCCAGTGGAAAAGCTTTTCCACTTAAACGCCAAAACTAGCGGCGAAGCTCACGCCATCGTTACGAAGTCTCCACTGACCAATGATGGCTTCCAATCCGCGTGGTCAGCGCTTCACGATCGTTTCGAAAATAAACGCGCGTTAGTAAACAATCAACTTAAGAAATTATTTAACATGGCGTCCATTGAACGCGAATCCTCGGCAGCCTTGAAGGAGCTGCAAAATACAATCCAAAATTGTCTAACATCGCTGAGAATTTCCGGCCTTTCTACTGAGAATTGGGATTGCCTCCTTGTTTATTTGTGCTCCACAAAACTTCCAAAGCTGACGCTTTCATTATGGGAGCAATCCATCGAACAAAAAACCGAAATTCCTACGTGGCCGGAACTTGATTCATTCCTAACAGAGCGCTATAGAACTCTGGAAGCCATAGATTCTCTCCAGCCTACTGTGACACGTTTTCGTTCATCTAAACCGATAAGTTCCAACCCATCGCCACGAGTACTACAATCCTTTAGTACGAGGATTCTACATACGTCCAAAAGATGCGATTTGTGTTCTGCAGAGAACCATCCAGTGCGTTTGTGTCCACGCTTCCTTCAGATGACGATAGTCGATCGATCATCTTATATCCAGAAAAAGCAGTTGTGCTTAAATTGCTTTGCAAGCGGTCATCCACTCCGTAATTGCACAAGCGCCCACAATTGTCTTACTTGTCACGGTCGGCATCACACTTTGTTGCATCCAAGCGACTCATCTTCTAGTGTTCCGATTCCTCGTGATGACACCCGACAAATATCTCCACCTATCCAACGGATTTCGTCGTTCTCTACACGAGTGACCAATGCGGCCGACTCCTTCAACTACTGGGTTCCATACAACGACAACAAAAGCAGACGTTCCCGAGGTATTTCATCCTACCAATGCCGAGTCTGTCAAGGGAACCATCCTCTTCGGAAGTGCCACCGTTTTCTTCGGCTTGATGCGAAGAAACGGCTCCAGGCAGTCATCGACAGGAAATACTGCGTCAACTGCTTGGCCCACCACCATTCTGGAGGATCTTGCCGTAGTAACGACCGATGCCAGTCGTGTGGACAGGATCATCACACACTTCTACATGCCGACGACCGCTCAGCGACTCCAACACTTTCTCGAGCGAAGGACTTCTGATATTTTGCTGCGTATCCTCGCAAGGGGGGAGAATGTTCAGGTCAGGAGCTTATGTTCCCGCCCCCCGCGACTCCGAAGCGCTCCCGCTTCATCAAAGCTCCTCAGCTCGCTCTCTCGCTCCCGCTCTTCTAGCGGATGCTTCGGCTCTGGCCGATCGTCGCATCGCTGAGCGGCCGCTCCCGCTCTCCTAGTTTGATCTCCGACTCCAATTTGTACATTAGATTAATTCCTAATTAGAACCTGAATAAAGCGGATCATACGATTTCATATTATATTGAAAGTTACCACGCCCCCCCGGCCTACTATTTCATTTCGTTGGTGGTGATTTTCTCTTGCGCGTTTTCGCTATTTCTACGGTGGTTACGTTGACTGCGGCGCGGGAGTGATTTATTTATTAATTCTTGTGCTGATCTGGAAAGTGAAGGAAATTGAATTTCCCCCCCCCCTCGAGCCGAACACATAATAATAATCATTTTCAGTCATCAATGTATAGTAAACTTCCTCGGTTATCTTCAAAATCCTAATAATCAGGCCTGTTTTAGTTTCCACTTCCGCAAGATCTACTCGTATTCAGGTCAGCTGTTCACTTCCGAAAAATCCTTACTGGTTTTGAATGAAAAGACCCCCTTAATGCTTCTAGTGCTTGCCATTGTGCTATTATATATATAAACACACAATTTTCATAATAATAATCATTTTCAGTCATCAATGTATAGTAAACTTCCTCGGTTATCTTCAAAATCCTAATAATCAGGCCTGTTTTAGTTTCCACTTCCGCAAGATCTACTCGTATTCAGGTCAGCTGTTCACTTCCGAAAAATCCTTACTGATTCGTATTTCCCTCTGTTACGTCCCTGTAAACTACCCGTTCGGAAAGTTTCCGACTGCCATTTGGCTGGCGATTTCAGATCCGCAAAACCAGAAATTAATTATTTTAAAATACAATGCGATTATGTAAATGGCAAATGTTAATCGTATTTTATTTTAGGAACATTATTGGATAACTGAATTACCTAAAGCTAATAGACTTGATTTTTAAATAATTATTTTGTGGTTGCACCTTAAAATCGCATCGATTCTTACCTTCAACATTCTTGGAAGTCCGCCGCCCTGAATCGTATTTGAAAGAGACTATTTAATGGTTGTCAGCGTTCCAAAAAAAGGAATATATCTAAGATTAATTTCACAAATTAATTTTTATGCTGTTTTTCAATTATAAAATTGGATGTTAGTCTAAAATATATGAAAAGGTGTTTTTGTTTAAAATACCAGCCAATTCAATCTACAAACTGAACTAAATGTTATCCGAAGGGAATTTTTTCTACAACCTCGGCAACTCTACTTTTGAGCATTTTGCCACTAGAACAGCTGATTGCAATTAGAAATATTTCAAAATGTTTATTTTCAGCCGTAAATGCTTATTCCTTTGATTTTATTAACTAAATTAGTGCTTCATTACTATCTATGAGTTGGAGACTACATCTAGCAAATATAATTGAACTAGAACAGGCCTGAATATTAGGCATAGACTATATGACGAATAACATTTTTTTACCTACTTATATATATAACGGGAAACAAATAGTAAACCGCGAAAAAAGGTTTTGAAAAAGTTTTAATTTTTCCGCCGCGATTGTATCTTCTGGAGAATTACCCTTATAAATCCACATATATATTTAAAACAGTCCATCCTTAAACAATTTAGAATGTGTTTTACACTTACCGCATTGCAACTGTTAATGTCCTTAACTTCCTCACTTTCTAAAAAATCAAGTACCTTTTGAAGGTCTCCGCTGCGAGCAGCACGCAGAAATGATATAGTAGCATCGTTCTGTAAAAGAATATATGTATTGTATTATTATATTATATTAAAAAAAAAACAAAAATTACAATTTTATAATCAGTTTTGAATATATTATACCGCTATCATAGGCCCATAAAAAATAGTCTAAAAGTGTTTAATCGCACGATCTAGGCGGCCAATTGACCGGTCGCGAATGTGAAATAAAATGCCTCTATCTTGCATCTCAATAAATTGATTGTTTACGGGTGTGGATTTTGTGTGTATGTGTGAATTATTATTTTTTAATTGTTATTATTAGTTGAATAAGTCTTAAAGCTTAAAAACTATAATTGAACATCTGAAAATCTGAAACCTCCCCAGGATTCCGGCTGGACAATGGGCACTGTATTAACCCGGACACGGGCAATGCATCGCCTCAGGCAATGCCATCGCCGGACTGAAGTCCACAAATTACAATTTGCTCCATACACCAAACAGTAAGCAGAAAAGAACCGCCGTACTTGTACAGAAGAGTCTACACGCTAACCTTATGTCTCATTACAGCTCTGATGACCTGACCGTGGTGATGCTAGAGAGCGGGAAAAAGCGCCTTTGGTAGCTTCCTGCTACATGGCACACGACAGGACGCCCCACCAGAAGAACTCAGGAACCTGGTAGAAGCTAGCCCGAAGGACCAGCAACTACTCGTGGGTGCAGACGCCAACGCGCACCACTGCGTATAGGGAGCCCCGACATAAACGACAGAGGTGAGTCACTCTTAGACTTTATACTCTCAACCAACCTAAGTATAGCAAATGTGGGGGAGGAACACAGCTTTGTAGGTCACACCTCCTCTAACGTGCTAGATCTTACTCTTGTAAGGGGACAATGTTTTTTGGTATCAGAATGGAGAGTCCTTGAGAGAACATCCTTCTCAGATCATAACTACATACCGTTCCAATACGCATTCGAACACTCTCCAAAACAATCAGTCTTCAAGAACTCCCGGAATACTAACTGGGGAAAGTTCAAGGAGACCATCGCGACACGGCTCGCGATCTCTTCGGGCATAGTAGAATCCGCGGTAGATATAGAAAAGTCCCTAGTGACCCTCTCCAAAGAACTGCTAGATGCGTACCACGCATCATGCCCTATATCGGGCACGAAAAAGAGGACCTACCCACTAGAGCTGGGAAAAAATCGATGTTAACATCGATTAAATCGATTCATTCTTTTTGGTCGATGCATCGATTCGGTTTAGAAAGAATCGATTAATCGACAAGGTCCATGCTTTGCGCTATCTGTGCGTTTCAGCTAGCTCAACAGAAGCAGAGCGAGTATTTAGTAAGGCTGGATGTAACATAACCGATAGCTCGTTTTTGCCAACAAAAACCAGTGGCTAATCTAGAATTTTGATATTTATTTTCATTTTTATAATTTGAAAATATTTTCTTTTGTTTTTTGTGATCTCATTGAATTGATCCCATTTAATTTAATTTAATTTAACTGGAAATAACCAGTAAATAATTTACTTTGATTTTTTGTTTTTATAATATGAAAATATTTTGTTTCTTATTTTATGAACCTTTATTTTAAATATTTTTATTTAAAATAAGTTACTTTATTTAAAATAAAGGCTTTGAATAATTTTATTTAAAATAAAGATTCATAAAATAAGAAACAAAATATTTTCTTTAAAAAAAATCAAAATCAATTAATCACTGGTTATGGCCAGCAAAATTTATTTGATTTATTAAGAATACATTTTTGGTTTATTGTTTTAGAATGATTATGTAAATAAATTTAAGTTTGGTTTTTTTCTAAATTTATTTGAAGTAAAAAATAAAAAAGTTTTGTTTTCGATTTAATCGATTTTATTTTCACAAAAATCGAAAAAAATCGATTCGCTGAGAATCGATTTTTTCCCAGCTCTACTACCCACCCTAGTGGAATAAGGACCTTTCACTCCGACAAAACAAACTCAAAGAATTCTTCAAAATCGCCAAGTAGGCGAAAGATGGCATCATCAATGAGGAATACAAAGTCCTACTTAGGGACTACAAGAAAGAAATACGCAAGGCGCAAAAAAACTCATGGAGAAACTTCTGCTCCAATATAGAGACTGCCCCGGAAACGGCTAGACTCCGGAAGCTGCTATCGAAGCAGCCAACCATACAGAGTCAGCTCAAACGCGACGACGGACAGTGGACTGAGGGAAGCAAAGAGGCCCTTACAGCACTAATGCATGCGCATTTCCCAGGACGCAATGAAGTACCCGATGCGAATAATCACCACGACCTAGTACTGGAGAAGAGCATATCCCAAAAGATCTAATATCCTCTAGTAGAATCCACTGGGCTATAGACTCCTTTGCGAGGATAAAAGCACCAGGACTAGATGGAATATTCCCAGCCATGCTGCAGGTGACCAAGGAAGTGATCACCCCATGGCTCTACGCAATATATAGAGCACATTTAAGCACGGGCTATATCCCTATCCAATGGAGGACCTCTCGGATTGTCTTCCTGCCCTAAGCAGGAAAGTGTAGCCACGTGAGCCCCACCTCATTTCTACTCAAAACGCTAGAAAAGCTGCTGGACTTATACATCAGGAACGATGTAGAGAGACTACTGTCGACCAAGCAGCACGCCTACACGAAGGTGAAATCAGTGGAGACGGCCCTACATTCGTTGATAGCCACCATTGAGAGAGCTCTACACAATAAGGAATATGCACTCGGAGTGTTCGTGGACATATCCGGCGCATTCAACAACGTTAGCACGGACGCAATAATGGACCGCCTAGAAGCGACCAACACGTCCCCCGCTATCAACTTGTGGATAAGAAATCTTCTAAGTTGCCGGCGGGTACTATCAGATTGGGGCACCGCTTCCATGGTGAGAGAAACGCACAGAGGTACGCCGCAAGGTGGGGTCCTTTCGCCCCTCCTATGTAATCTGGTGGTAGCTATCAGATTGGGGCACCGCTTCCATGGTGAGAGGAGCGCACAGAGGCACGCCGCAAGGTGGGGTCCTTTCGCCCCTCCTATGTAATCTGGTGGTATACAACCTAATCAAGAGATTCGAGAGGACAGCACCAAAGATAACAGCTTATGCGGATGAGATAAGCATTATTATCACGGGAGTATGTTCCTCGACTCTCAGCTCGACCATGGAAACAACGCTCAGGGAGATATGTGAGTGGGTGGACAAGGTAGAATTCAATATTAACGTGGATATTCTCTTCACCAAGAGATACAAGGTGCCGCAATGGATCACCCCAAAAATGGACACAACCAGGCTGACCCCGAAAACACAAGTCAAATACCTCGTCATTGTACTAGACATCAAGCTAGCGTGGAAGGCTTTATGCATCCAAGAAGCTGCTTAGCAGTAGAGAGGGCCTCTCGCCCGCTCTAATGCATTGGGTCTACATATCGGTGGTGCGTTCGACTCTGTTTAATGGGGTCTTAGTGTGGTGGCAAGCAATGGAGAAGAAAACGTATAATAAGCTTATGGAGAGAGCCCAGCGGCAGGCGCTGCTCTGCATATCAACTGAAGTCAACCCCTACCAAAGCTCTCGAAACCATAATCGGTATATATGCCCTAGATATCCAAGCGCAACTGACAGCAGGAAAGGCGGCTCAACGTCTGGTTGCATCAGGAAACTGGTCGCTACAAGGTTTCGGGCACAGTTCAATTAGTCGAGACATGAGCAGTACATCTGACTACATGATACCCAGAACGTGCCCGGATGTAAACATAACAGTATTCATGGGACCAAATGACTGGAAGTCAGGCCAGGACCATGTTCAATAACTCAATATATACTCCGATGGCTCCAAGATGCGGGTTTATACTGTACAGACCCTGAAATGAGGCTGTCGTATAAGCTACCAAGCTACTGCCGTATATTCCAGGCGGAAGTATTCGCCATCAGGAAGGAAGCAAAGCTTGCGCAGAGCATAAACCATCCAAATGAGGCGGTCAATTTGTTCGTAGACAGTCAAGCGGCGATAACTTCCATGCAATAATCAGCGGTCAGTTCCAAAAATGTACTGGCAAGCAGGGAGTCACTAGATAGCCTGAGCACGACTAAGTGAGGATCTACTGGGTTCCCAGCCACCAAGACGGTAACGAGACCGCGGACGAACTTGCAAAGGAAGGCGTCGGACTGGCGAGTGAAAGAGCAGAAAAGTCCCTGTCTTCCTAAGAGACGCAAGCGAAAAAATCAGGTGGAAAAGTAATTCCGCAACCTGTAGAATATCAAAAATCATGTGCAAAGAGCACAACGAGAAACACACTCACTACGTGCTGCATCTTCCTCGGAGGACTGCAGAATGTTAGTGGGTATTCTAACAGGTCATTGCCTGTCTGCTGCACATGCAGTGAAGCTGGGTATTACCGACAACTTCAAATGCCGGAAATGTGATGGATCTGAGGCAACCGAAACCTTGGAGCAGCTCATTTGCAAATGTCCGGCCCTAACGAGGGCAAGAATGAGAAACATAGGTTCTCTGGTTCTGGCATCGCTAGAAGATGCCTCCAGGAGAATGCCATGCGAACTCCTTTGCCTTTGCGAGTGCCGTACGGATTAACCTAACCATAATTAAACAAAAAACATTTCTTTCTAAAAGAACGGCTGACCGGATTATGAAATCAAAACAGCTTTAAAAGACGTGAACATGTTAACTCATCTAAAAATTTATAAAATAAAAAGCGCTGAAAGCTTTTTCTATATCTAGTTTATTAAACACATAATCCCTCGATGAAAATGTAGGTATTAGATTGGTTTCTTTTTTTTTTGTTAAATAAAACAAGAAAGGAAGCTAACTTCGGCACGCCGAAGTTTGTATACCCTTGCAGATTGGTTTCGATGTTTATATTATAGATTTAAATGCTGAAAACACTCACAAAACAGAGTTTCATTACATTACCTATACCTATACTTATTATGTTTACAGTTTGACAGTTACAGTTTTACATTCCCAGTTTTACATTTTCTCTACATCTACCGATCGGTTTATATGGCAGCTATATGATATAGTT